GGAATGTTTCCTCCACCACTGGTCCCTGTTTTGTTTGCCATTGTTCCTGGAGAAGGACACATACTGTTTGTGGTCAGTTGCTTCCCTGACTTTCCCCTTTGCATGAGTTTCAAGCTGTCGGGGGAAATCAGAGCTTTCAACCCCAAGGAAGAAAAATAGCACTTCTCCCTTCCTGCCCTGCTTACAACAGAATTTAGTGGTGGTTGTAGCTGCAGTACAAATTGCGTGGATTATGATTCCTTTCTCCCTTCTTCCTCTCTGGGATTTGTTGCTCCAAATAGAGATGTTAGAATAGAAGTACTAAAGATTTTATGGGAGACAATAGAATTCTTTTGACTTTACTATTCCTAATTTATGTCTGTTGGGGCAGGAAAGTTGAATTAGGCAGCAAACTTGTGTGTAGGTTAAGGAACTGAAAATGAAAGAAAAAGATAAACTTCAATAAAGAGGCTCTAGAAAAGATTGACTGATTTAAATTTTTCTTAAATTACTATAGTGTTTCATGCTAGGATCATAAATGAATAGATTATTCATTTAGTACAGTTGGAATGACCCTTACAGGACCACCCCCAATGGTGGGATATAGTACAAAGAGCACTTGACCACCCTTCAGTATCCTGAAACACAGACCTCCACATATAGATCTGTGAAAATCTAGACCCTAGCCCTCTGTCTCTGGATAAGTGAATTCTCTCATCTTTGCAGGCCTAATCCTAGGGCTCAACCCAGTTGAGTGATAACTGAGATATGTGCAAATTAGTCCACTATATCTGGCTGGACCTAGGCCCCAGACCATCTCAGCATCTGTCTGCCATCCTTCCCTACCATATGCCTTTCTGCCTCCCTGGAACAAAACACTGCTTTCTTATCATGTTCTCTTATATGTGTTGTCTTGAAGCTCCTTGAGGAAGCTACAGCTTCTTTTTGTTTGTTTGTTTGCAAGACAATTGGGGTTAAGTGACTTGCCCAGGGTCACACAGCTAGTAAGTGACTACTTCTTTTAAAAATATATTCCCAGGGCAGCTAGGTGACAGTGGATAGAGCACCGTCCCTGAAGTCAGGAGTACCTGAGTTCAAATGTGGCCTCAGACCAAACACTTGACACTTACTAGCTGTGTGACCGTGGGCAAGTCACTTAACCCCAATTGCCTTAAAAAAATATACACACACACACACACACACACACACACACACATATGTATTCCCATTGGGGCAGCTAGGTGGCACAGTGGATAGAGCACTGGCCCTGAAGTCAGGAGGACCTGAGTTCAAATCTGGCCTCAGACCAAACACTTGTCACTAACTGTGTGACCCTGGGCGAGTCACTTAACCCCAATTGCCTAATTAAATATATATGTATGCATGTGTGTGTGTGTGTGTATACATACATATATATATGTATATTTATACACACACATACATACATTTTTTATATATATATATATATATGTATATATATATAGATATATGTATATATATATATATATATATACATATATATATATATATATATATTTTCCCATCTAAGACATCTCCAAAGGCCTCATGATAGAAAATGCTATCCACATCCAAAGAAAGAGCTACAGAGTTTGAATGCAGATGGAAGCATATATTTGCTATTTTTTTTCTTCTGTTAAGTTTTGTTTCCTCTTTCTGGTGGTTCCTCTTATTGGCTCTAATTCTTCCTTACAACATCACTAATGTGAAAATGTGTTTAATAGGAATGTATATGTATAGCCTATATCAGATTGTGTGCTATTGTGGGGAGGGAGGGGGAGAAAAATTTAAAACTCAAAAGTGTATAGAAGTGATTGTTGATAAATCAAAATAAATTAATAAAGTTTAAAAAATTAAAATATATTCCCAGTACTTAGCACAGTAATTGACATCCAGGAAAGTCATCTCTTATTAAATGCTGTCTTTTTTTCATTCATTCATTTGCTGTCAGAGAACTTGATTCAGAGGTTGGCCATGCTCCTTATTTGTGTGATCTTGAGCATGTCACTTTCTTTTGGAGTGCCTCAGTTTCCTCATATGTAATGTGAAGACAAGCTTTTAGATCCCTTTAGTTCTGAAATATGTTGTGGTGGTGGTGGTAGTGTCATGTCAGACTCTTCATGACCCCATTTGGGGTTTTCTTGGCAAAGATACTGGAGTGGTTTGCCATTTCCCTCTCCAGCTTATTTTACTGATGAGGAACTGAGGCAAATAGGGACACAGCTAGGAAGGGTCTGAGGCCAGATTTGAAAGGGAAGAGAGGAAGAAGTAGGAGAGAAAATGAATGCTTCTTAATTGAAAAATTAAAATAAAATCAAAGTTACATTTAAAAGAAAAGAGGGAAGGATTTGTGTATTTATTTGAGAATGGGGTGAATGGATAGACGCCTGAACCAGTGGCTGGAAGGATTTTTAGAAGTATCCGTGTCAGAAAGAGGGTCTGGAAGGCCTTTTACGTGGAATCTTTGTGACTTCTGTGTCACTCAGACCATGGGTAGCTCCTGTGGAGCTGGAGGAAGCAGGCCAAGGCTGAGTTGGCTGAGCTCAGCAACCCTTGGATTCCTATCCAGCCACTGAGAAATGTCAGTCTGGTGAGACTATGAGAAATCCCAGCTGACATCTGGAATAGAGTGTAAACCTTCATGACTGGGCTGTAGCTCCTCTTCTGGGCAACTGAGCAGCCAAAGACTTCTTACAACAGTATTGCTCCCCTGGGGCCTGCTAGGAAATATTTGGTTTAATTAAAGGAACATTTTTTCATCTCTTCTAGGTATTATTTGATCTTAGACTTATTGCTTTTGATTCATCCAGGAAAGTACCCCTCTTTATTCCCATGTTTGATGTGGGCTTTCTCTTTTTCTCCCCCTTTATCCTCCACCCCCAAGCAGCTTTTCTAAGCAGCCAGCCTCCAGCCTTTCAGTCTCTGTGTTGAGCATGATTTTAGCCGGGCTTTACTGAAGGTCACATATGTTAGTGTGCAAAGAAAAAATAGCAGAACAAAGACAGGAGCCCAGTTTCTTCTGCTCTGCCCTTCTGTGACCCTAGGCACAGTTTAGCGGCTCAGTTTTCTATTTGTGAAATGAGTAGGTTGGACTAGATGCCCTATAAGGTTGCTTCTTGCTCTCATGTTCTGTGCTGTTAGTTCTTTCTAGCTCTACCATTCCGTTATCCATGTGCAAATAGGTCCTGAGGTCCTGTGATTCTTTAATTCCTATTGCTGTGGGATATTTAGCTGGTTAGTTAGGGCCCTTCCTTTTGGACTTGTATAATAGGAATCCTATCTATTGTACTCTGTCCTCCCAGAAAGGGTATGAAGAATGAGCTACCATTTGTAAAAAGTTCCATGAAAAGTCTCTTGAAAGAATTCTTGAATAGATCATCAGTGCATTGGTTTGGTAAACTTGCTATTGTATTCCTGGTTCATTGTCGTCTCTGAGAATCTATTATTTGATCAACTTGATGCTAAAAGTAGAGGTGTCTTCTTCATCCCTTTCCTATAGAAAGATTGCTTATTTACCTAGAACTTGTGATATTCACCTGAATATGTATTAATGAAACGATCATTCACCAATTTATATGCCTGAGATCAATAAGGGAGCAAAATATTCTTTTCATCAGTGGAAATTTGTAAAAGCCAGGATCATTTGCTGTGAGCTACTCTTCTCCCTTTGGGATCTACGCAAACAGTCTCCATTCAAGGAAAAGCCTTCAGACACAGAAGCACAGTGATTCATTGGTTCATTCTTTTAACAAACTTTTCACTCATCAGCCACTAGAGAGAAGGCCCTGTGCTAGGTTAGGGGAATACACAGACTAAGAAGACATTAGTCATTGCCCCCTACGAATAGGGAGCCTAATTGAAGAGCCTGAATGCATGGAATTGTAGCATAATGCAGTAGTCAGTATGATGGTGTCACTTTTGGTTTGTTGGCAAATAGTTGGCATTGCCAGCATACAGACTCGGGGAGTCCATCATGGACAGCCTCTCTGTTACAGTATTTTATGCCATCATTTAGTCCTGCTTTTCCAACAAGCTGAGATGAACAGCTCTAGCCACAAGAGCCAGCTGGCTTTGTAGCATCCAACAAAGCACTTATTGGTGGTTGAAGTTGCAGAGCTATAGAGGCTGTGGTACTACTGTTGCCTAACCACTACTACCACCACCCGTAGCCCCAGCCCCTTTTGTGCCCTCACTCATCTGTATGATGTCTCAGGCAAGCATCCTTTCATGGAAGAGTTTCCTCCTGGCATTCTTCCCAGCCACACATAAAGTGACAGTCAGGTAGCTTCTGCACTGCTGCTATTCCTGCCCATGTCCTTCTTGCAGAGGCCAGAACTGTAATGCTTCCATAGATATGGAAGAGGAGTAAGCCCTGAGTGAGATTTAAGAGGTAGGCATGCCTTCTGTCCCTTCTGGTCCAGGTTCCCCAGGCCACACAAACCGCCCAAGTCTTTGGCTGCGTTTTGAATGTGGATGCCTATGCCACTTCCAAGCCTTGGGAAAACACTTGGGAATCTGGAACACTTGTTTTTAGAAGTTGCTTCTTCATTGGCTAGTGCACAATACAAACAAATTAATATAACCTTGACCCCCTTTCCTTGGGTTGGGGGAGAGGAATAAAAAACAATTTGAAACTACCCTAGCCTGGCTGAGGAGCCTGGCTTCTATCACAGAGCAAATGTCTCTGGGCCTCAGTCCCCCCATCTGTAAAATGGGAAGAATTGATTTAAAAGATCCCTGAATTCCTTTTCTCATCTTACATTTTATGACTCTGTTTCTACTTGGTAGGTAACTATTTATATTTATTCAGTCCTTTACAGTTACAAAATGGTTTCCTTACATAAACTTTATGAGACAGAAATGACAAAAATCATCCCTTTTTTCCAAAAGAGGAAACTCAGGGTTTCTTTAAAGGAACCAGTTCCAAAGGGACAGTTTGGTCTCTGAGCACCAGTGCCAACACAAAGACTCTACTAACCATGGATTTATGTTCTGTCATGCAGGCCCTTCCCCTCAGAAGAGACCACAGAGAATGACGATGATGTATATCGGAGTTTGGAGGAGTTGGCTGAGTAAGTAACTGGAGGAGGAGAAAAAAGGAGGAGGAACAGAGTTTCACTTTTTTGTTTCCTCCTTGTCACTTTGAAATATTGCTGTCAAACTCAATGCAGAATTTGTTCCTTTGATGACAGTGCCTGGAGATTTTTGTACTTTTGTAATCGCCCCCATTTTCCCATTGAAGAGCACTGGGACACATAAATTCTAATAGATCTCAATTTATGGATTTCTCAATAGAGGGTAATTGGGAGCCAAGGCCTTAGGGATAACTTTCTTAACATTAAATTCCCCTCTAAATACCACAGGTTACATAGAACCTCTTGTAATTGAAATAGAAGTTGGCTCAAGCCCCTCACCTTTGCAAGCTATTACAATAGTTAGAAGTGATGGTGCAGATGGGGACTGAGCTTCCTCTAGGTCAGAAGTCTGGAATGTCTAACAGCTTATCCTGTGTGAGTGAGTTCTGGAATGTTCATACAGGTTTAAGCAGAGTCAGGGGTTTTCTGGTATCTGACAGCCTGCAGGAACATATCTGCAGTGTCATCCAGCCCCATTCCAACCTGTGGCTCCTTTTAATCCCATGACTGCTGCTCTCTTCTGTCCAGAAAGTCACCATGACTGGCCTCCCTGGGTATCATCCAGCTCCTCTGGGGAAATATATGATGAATAAGACATAGTCACTGGCTTTCACAGTCCTTCATTATGGAAATGAATGGGTGGAGAGTTACAGCTTAAAAAGGCTTCAGAGGTCATCTAGCCCAGCCCCTCCCCACCATTTTATCAATGAGGACATTGAGGTTCAGAAGTGTGAAGTGACCTGCCCAACATCACAAAGATAAGAAAGTAGCAGAACTCTGCTGAATCTAAAGTCTTCTTTCCACTGCAGCATGATGCCTTTCAAGAATCATAGAGCAAATGTCTCTGGGTCTCTGTCTCCCCATCTGTAAAATGGGAAGAACTGATTTGAAAGATCCCTGAGTTCCTTTTCAGGTCTTACATCTTATGGCTCTGTGTTTTAACTTGATAGTGACTGTTTACATTTATTCACTCCCGTGTAGTTGCAAAATGCTTTCGTTTACACAAACCTTATGATATAATAGATGAAGAGAATCATTTCCTTTTTCCAAAAGAGGAAACTCAGGCCCAGGGATGTAAGGTAATTTTCAGAGGGCCACATAGCAAGACTGATTTATGTTTCCCATAATCTGACAAGTGGTAGCTGCATCAGGATGGAACGCAGTTCTCCCTCCCCCTGGTTGTGCCAGCTGGCCCCCAAGGAGCCGCCCTAGAGGCATTGAAACATTGGGGACGTGGATTAAGGTGGACAATGGCTAGCTCCCCTCCCCCTCTTGAGGTACACCTTCTCATCTCACATAGATTTTCTGGTCTGAATGTCTAATCTGGCAATTGTATCTCAATCTCAGCCTCTTGGATTTTGCTGCTCCACAGAAACTCTGGCTCTAGCCTGACCTTGCTTTTTTGCTTACATATGTTTCCTTCCCAACTTTGATCCTTTTCCTCTGCCCCAGGTGGAGATGACTGTTCCCTGACTTGGGAGTTTGTCCAGTCTCTTGCATCTGTTAATTCTGCTTTGGGTAGGATATGACAGTTAATGGCAAAACCTGGGCTAGTCTACTCATCCCTTGATTCCTCACTCAGAACATGCCTAATGCTACTGTGCGTGAGGCAGTTTGTTACATTGGATAGAATGCTGGGCTTGGAGTCAGGAAGATCTGAGTTCAAATGTTGACTTAGACTTTTATTCTTTGTGACCTTGGGAAAGTCACTTTCCCATTTTTGGGCCTCCATTTCCTCATCTGTAAAAATGAGGAGATTGGACTCCTTGGTCTTTAGAGTTTCTTCTGGCTATTATCTATGATCCTGTGAGACATGAGAACATCTGGTATAGAGTGCTTTGTAGGCTAGACAGAAAGCACTGGGGAGAGACCAGCAAAGATTGTGATGGGTCATAAAAAGAGGCACTGGTGTCCTGGGAAAAGAGTGATTGTATCTTCTTCACACCTGGTTTTAGAGACTCACAGCTGTGCTATTCTGGGTAGCCAGCTGCTGGGGCCTCAATCCAGCCTTTGGTTTCATGCCTCCTTACTCTTATATTGAACAATGACTGCAGCCCTGGTCAGCCTCCTTACCTCCTAGTCAATAATGTGAAATTCAGGCAAAGTCATTGTTACAGAAGCCTTGAAAAATTTATCAGTCTCCAACTTGTGCTTATCAACTAGGCTGTTGGGCCAGGTCTTCTTTGTGAGTTCTATCTGTAGCATCTCCCAACCAGGGAATCCAGCACATACATAAATTACTACCAAGAGAGTGGCATGAGTCATCCATAACATTGGACTGGATACCAGTTCTTGGCCAGTACCTGTAACATGAATGTTCCCCATTGAGTTGCTTTTGAGAAGCCAAGATCTCTAGCTTTTGCTTTTTTTTTTTTTTGGTGAGGCAATCAGGGCTAAGTGACTTGCCACACAGCTAGTAAGTGTCATGTGTCTGAGACTAGATTTGAACTCATGTCCTCCTGACTTCAAGGCCAGAGTTCTATCCACTGCGCCACTTAGCTGCCCCGATCTCTAGCTTTTGAAGGGTTTGAAGCTCACCTTAATGGGAAGAATTTGAGCTGTACACCTTGGAGAACTTGTCTGAAGTGAGGAAGGAGAGGAATTTTTTTTTTACCATCTAGGAAATTTGTTGAGTCAGCCTCTTTGCCCTTCCCCCTTGGACACATCAATACCTAAGTATAGGGTCAACTCCCTACCCATGGAGATCAGGTATAACTGCCTTCTCCCCATTCCCCATGATAGATAATTATATGTGTGATGCTAAGGACCTTGGCCTCCTGCTCTTATCTGTTATGTCCCTAGAAGGGCATACCAAGTATGGTGACTTTAACCCAAACTTAAACTTTCCCTGTGTTCCCTGAACTTCACCCTCTCTCCCACTCCTAAACAGAGCTAAATGTCCACAATCCCAGTGTTTGTGCTTTCTTATCCTGTCTGAGAGTTCCTAGTTGGGAAAGAGCCTGTATGTTTTATATATGCTTCTTTGGGTGGTTCTTTGAATCCTGGACCCTAGTATATCAGAGTTAGGTGAGTCCAAACCCTTCATTGTACAGATTGTTAGAGTAAGACCTAGACAAGCAAAGTGACTTCTCTGAGAGCCTATGGAGTATGTTGTTGTTCTTCAGTCATTTCAGTCATGTCCAACTAACTCTTGGTGACCCCATTTCGAGTTTTCTTGGCAAAGATATGGAGTGGTTTGCCATTTCCTTCTCCAACCCATTTTGCAGATGAGGAAACTAAGACAGTAGTAGTTAAAGGCTAGAACCAAGTGTTCTTTGTATAACTCTAGGAAGGCTACTGCTAGCTGCTAGCTCTCTTGATAGAGAAAGAATCATAAACTGTCAGAACACAAAGGGGGTCTTACAATAAGAGCCCAGTAAGGTGAAGTGGAAAGAACTCATGATTTAGAATCAGAAGACCTGGGTTCAAATTCTGGCTCTATTAACTAGTATTAATAACTCTATTAACCTGTGCCATCTTGGGAAAATCACTTCTTTCCAGAACTGTTTACTAGTCTGTAAGCAAATTGGGAGTAGGGATAGAAGATCTCTAAGTTCTCTTTGAGGTATGAATCTTATGATTTGCTGTGAATACAGATTATCTTCAAAATCAGGAAGAGACTTTACAACAAAGAATATCAGGGCTGGGAAGAAACCTGAGAGACCATCTGCTCCTCCCTTTTATAGGCAGACTCTCCTAAAAAGTTAACATTCTTGCTTCTACCTCCTTACCTCTCTATTTCCTTTTCAGTCCCTTGAGATTTGGCTTCTAATTTTATCATTCAAATGAAATGTTCTTTCCAAACATACAGTAATATCTTAATTGTGAAATTCAAAGGTCATGTCTCATTCCTCATTCTTCTTGACCTCTCTGCACCATTTGCCACTGTTGAGCACTGTCATCTCCTAGCTCTTCTCTCCTTCCTGGGTTTTATGCGCTGATCTTTCTTGGCTCTCCTTCCACTTGTGGTTGTTGCTTCTCAGTCTTTTTTTCTAGTTTATTATCTTAGTCCTGTGTATGGGTATTACCCAAGGCCACTATCCTGGTCCGTCTTTCCTTTCTCTTCTCATTCCTTCTCCCCTTTCCCCTTCCCCTGGCTCTTTGACAATTAAAACTCTTTACAATTTGGCTAAAATCTACCTTTCCAGTATTATGACACATGTCTCTCCCTCATGCATTCTACATTCCAGTCAGATTGGACTCCTTCTTCTTACCCATAAATGACATCCCGTATCATCTCCCTGCCTTTGCACAATTTATATTCTCTATGTCTGAAATGCAATTTCTTTTCAACCCTATCTCATATAATCCCTGGTTCCCTAGTAATTCACCTCAAGCACAGTCTCCCACAAAAGTTTATCTGGATCCCCTCCCTCAGTTACTAGTTCCCTTCCTCTCCAAAAAATTACTTGCCATCTTTTTTGTATCTAATTTTCTTTGTACATATTGTTTACCTCCATAAGAATATGAGGTCTTTGAAGGCAGGGCCATTTCTGTTGTATTCTTTGTATCTCCAGTGCCTGAGTAGGTGCTTAATAAATGTCTGTTGAATGAGGCCGACCTAAGGTGAGAGAGCCATCCCTTCCCTTCCCTTATTTTCCATCCCTTCCCTCTTCCCATCCCTACAGAAGGAGCAAGGTCTTAGTAAGCTGAATGTGGTATAAATGTTCAGGCTGATATTGAAGCCCTCCTCACAGATGACTGTACCCAGGGACCTACCAGGATCTTGACTCTGATGTCTTAGAATAATAAATTATTAACCATGAGGATTGCTGCTCATGTTGTGTGTTTTGAGTAACCCTCCAGGCTGTGTCTGGGTCTGTGTGCTTCAAACCCATCTCGGTTTGTTGTGACAATGTTGAGAAAGAATGTGTGTGTGTGTGTGTGTGTGTGTGTGTGTGTGTGTGTGTGTGTACCCAAGTGTGTAAATGATCCTG